ATCAACAAATTTCTCAATTAAATAAACGCGGATAATCCGCAAATGTTTTTTATTTTCTTGATATGTAAATACTCTACTTTCTAATGCTACTAAAAATATACCCACCCATACCAATAGTTTTTTCGAACTTAGAAATATCTATAAATAACCTTTTCTTTACTGGGTATCTATTTTATTTTGAATGATGGTTATAGTGATATTAAGAACATAAGTTCTTGATTTATTTATATTTATAATTACTATCTAGCTAACTACTTACTATCCAGAAATTTTTTGTCGAAAAATAGAGGTTACGTATAGGTATGTTAGATGAAATCAAACAGTAAATAGACTTCTATCAACTAGGAAATAGACAGGAATTCAAGAAAAATATAACATACTTACATAAAGAGTTCAATTTTCTTCTGCAAATAGTTGAATATCACGTTCATGTTTCGTTTAACTGATATCATTCAAAAAGTTTCCGGATCACTACGCCACTACATCACAAGCTTCGACTTGTTTGTTTCAAAGTTTTTTATGATCTAACTCAGATACAAATATTATTCGATTATCTAACACGCTAACTCAATAACTACACTGAATTTACTTTTAATAAGTAACGTTCTTTAACAATAACTTTTAAAAATCACTTTTTATTTCAAATTCACGAAATTGTTTTTAAGCAAGAACGCTTATTCGAAATTCCGGATTTGTATTTATCGTGACTGCCGCCAGGGCCAACGTTGCCAGTTTTCGTGATAATGAATTTAAAATAAAAACAATAGTAAAATAAATTATTATCAAATTAGAAACGATTTTTTTAGATACCTGAAATGAACATAAAGGGCAGATATTATAACTGGTGTGTCGTTTTTGTTCAACTAAATGTACTTAGGGTCCTAAGATTAAGTGTACACTTACTGTGAGTGGTATTTTTGTGTTTTTTTTTCCAAAGTTTTATTAGTTTCGGTTTTAAAACTGTAATTTGTTTTTAGAAAAACAAATTTGGTGTTAAATATGCCTATTTTTTACTATTTCTTGCACTGCTTCAGCAAAATGATAGTTTATTTGGGTGTGGCGACTGTGGCGAGTTGTGACTTTTCGAAGATTTGTTTGGCTTTATGAGAAAATTTTGTAGGAGCTAATAATATATAAAATGGGCGAGAAACCGTAAGTAGAACATACTATTATCTAGATATTATGCTAACTGATGCCTACCTCGCAGAATAATTTTTATGGGATTTAAATAATGGAATAATTCTTAATAAATTAATCTAAGTGGAAAAAATATAAAAATGAAATTGACTATTTAACTTTTAAGCTACTAAGGGGAAGATCTAAATATTTAATTGATCTAGATTACTATAGTTATGTGAATCCTATTGAGACTTCTATTTCAACGTATCCTACTAAGCAAATATGGCAGTTAGTAAAATCAAAAGAAGGTAAAAAATATGTTATTTTGGCTTTAAAACATAATAATGAAATGATTACAGATGGTCAAATTATTTGTGATACTTTTTCTACTTATTTTAACCATGTATTCAACCCGCCCAACTTAAACCAAACTTATGTACCTTCTAATAACCCACACAACAAATATATACCTAATTATTATATACCAATATCCACGATCATTAACAAAATTGAACAACTTCTTAACAAAGCTTTGATAAAATCCCCACATGTCTGTTAAAAGAATTGCTCTCAAGAAATAGCGCAGCCTCTATTTTTCATATTCAATAAATCGTTACCAAGACGGTCACTTTACAGATATATGGAAAACAGCATTAATTGTTCCTATTCTAAAATCTAGTAACAAATACCTAGCGGAAAATTACATTATTGCAAAATTGTTTGAATCTATCTTATGTGACTACTTAGACTTTGATCTTAAAAATATTATTAATATCGAACAACACGGATTTATGAAAAAGCGGTCCATCGAAAGTAACCTTCTTATTTACACACAATACTTATTAGATGGAATGGACCGTGGATTGCAAATAGATACCATTTATACCGAATTCAGTAAAGCGTTTAATAAAAATTGATCATAATATAATGCTCTATAAACTCGCTGAGGTTGGTATTCATGGTAATTTGCTCAGATGGTTTTCGTTTTATAGTAAGAGAACTCAAGCTGTTAAAATTTTAAAATTGGCATGTTAACTCTGCATTTTGTATTATTACATCTGGCGTACCGCAGGGATCTCATCTGGGACCGCTGCTTTTTAATATTTACATTAATGATATTGCCAATTGTTTTACCTTTTTGAAATTTATTATGTACGCTGACGATTTAAAGGTTTTTCATACTGTTGCTACGAATTGGAAATCTTTACAGATTCAAAATGATCTTGACAATTTATTTTCGAGCTAAGGCTCTCGGGCTCTAATCAGATTATTAATGCCAAAAATTATGACTCATCAAATTGAGAATAAAAGATTCTCGAGAGTTAGATTCAACAAAAATAGCTGAATATTATCAAGGTCTTGAAATATTACCCTTAATAATATTTGGTAAAACCAAAGAGGTTAGAAAGGGTAGAGGTAACATAGAAACCATTTGTCGCTGCGCGAATTTTGCCAAAACCGAAAAACTGGGTGGAAGGAGTAGGGAGATGTTCTGGGCCGGACTTAAATATTTGTATTGTAGTACCTAATTTTGGTGGGTAACTAAAAGATGAAAAATTATGAAACGTTTTTTTGACTTTATTTGTTAGCACGATTCATGTATGATGAGGGCAATAACACTTTATCAATATATAACTAGCTAAGGGCCGATTCCACCGTTGTGTAAAACGAAGTTTAAATTATTAAACGAAGATTAAAATGACATTGTTAATGTAAAAATGTCATTTTAAACTCCATTTAGTGATTTAAACTTCGTTTTTGTTAATATAAAAATGTCATTTTAATCTTCGTTTAGTATTTTAAACTTCGTTTAACAAAACGGTGAAATCTAACCCTAAGTCAAAGTTTATAAAATTATTGCAACAAAATAGATGTTGAGACAAAAAGTTATCGAAACAGCCAAAGTACTTTTTGCTCGAATTACACACAAGATTTTTTCTACGATCACACCAAAATAAAATAAATAATTAAATTTTATTAGAAATGGGTTACCTTTTCGTTCGTTATAATATTTTAAGTTTATTTGACATAGGCCTACTCTTCGAAGAGAAAAAATGTTTTTGTACTTATATGCCGGTAATTATTTATGATTTAATTATTTACGGAAAATACCGTTCAATGAATTAAAATATTAGGAAGTCAATTAATAGTTATTTATGTAACCAGTTACGAAATGCCTTATTTTGTGTAACGAGTAAATATTTGCGGAACGAGCGGAGCGAGGTCCCGCAACATGAATGACTTACAGATTTATTTATTTTCATTTCGTAACTGGTGACATATTCAATTTTTCGTAATCAGTTGCATAATGTTCTACTTTATGCAACTGGTTGCATAAAGTAGATCGTTCTGACACTTGCTGCGATTACAAAATGTTACTTTATATGTCAAAATTAGAGAAAATAACAGAATGTAAATTAAATGGATAGATCCCAAATTAGCGAAATATTTGACGGAGCCCTAAACACATAAAACACAATTTAAAAAATGTATTTCAAATTTTTCTTTATTTTGACTCTCATTTTGATAAAACATGATAAAAAATCGGCTTTATATTATGCTCCAATTTCACATATTCAATTTTATAATTATAATTTGACAATATTACTGCCCATCTACGTAGTCTGTTGGCTGAAAATTGGGGTATACATTTAGCTGGATTAAAAATAGTTACCAGAGGTAAGTGATCTGTAACTACGATAAAGAAATGTCCATATAAATATTCTTTAATTTTATTCAAGCCAAAAATTATTGCAAGGACCTCTATTTCAATTTGGGAATATTTTTGTTCGGACTTTGATAATGTACGCGAAGCAGAAGCTACAGATTTCTCAATATTTTTTTCAAAAACATGACATCATGGCCCTTATTCTCACATTTAATGCATCTACGAATAATTTAATCGGCAACTCAGGCTGAAAATACACAAGAGCATCATTTGTTTTAATTTATTTTTGATTTATCTCAAAGATTCCTTGCAAGAATTATCCCAAATCCATTTCACCCATAAAAAAATTAAATAAAAAAAGTCCAAAAGTAAAATCATATCCTCCTTCCTGTTAGTGACTTAAAAAAATTACTTCCCAAAAAACGGTCCTTAAGCCAGGTCCCTCCATTTTGTGGCGATAGTACTGTTTTTTTTTTATTGTGATTATTTTCTTCGCGGAGCCCTCACAAAGGCTTTGCGGAGCCCCAGGGCTCCGCGGATCACACTTTGAGTAACACTGTTATAGAGAATTACTAAATAAATAGTTTTGAGAAAACTATTGAAACCAGTTGTGAAGTTTGAAACGAATAAATTGGCAATGAAATTGATATTTTTGTATTTGATTGTATGTTTCTCTTTTCACTTCCTAAAAAAAGATTCCCCATGAAACAAGAAATAGTAAACAGTTTATAATAATAACTTTTATTTGTTACTTATAACATGTACCAATGACCAAGTCCGATTCTGTTTATTTTCAAATCAACAAATATGGACGTCGACAGAATCCTTAAAAATTAAATATCCTACCGAAATAAATGTAAGTTTCTTTTATCTCCGTCACATTTCGCAGGTTTATTATAAATAAAGCTTTTTACAACACATCTTGGCATTTTCAACGTTAATTTCCAAAATTTAAGTCACTAAAATACCAAATTAATTCTCGTTGACACATTAAATTTGGATGGACAACGCTCTGACATGTGATGTTCTCAACTGTGATTGGTGGGTGTGAATCATTTCGAAATGGGATTATGCGCAGTGTTTTATGTTCCATCTAAGGTTTGTATAATCTAAGGGTAAAACTAATAAAATGCATACCTGCTACATATTTTAGTTTCTACACCGTTACCTAGAGTTGGAACATTAATATTGTACCAAGAGTAATAAACAATAAAACAAAAATATTCATTTTTATTTACATACTTATTAAGTAAAAAAAGAGAGCAAGTAAAACATATTAAAATAAACATGAACTCAAAATTTTGTAACCATTTTTGCTTCATATTAATCCAAATTTTAGACCAGTTTGCTGCTGTATCCAATGCATAAAAGGAGCAACTCTTGTCATTACAGTTGGAAATCTAGAAGTCCCACATCCCGTACCCCAAGATATAATACCTTCCAATCTGTTAAACACCATGGCTGGCCCACCAAAGTCTCCATCACAAGCATTAATATTCAATGATTGAGAACGGAGATATCCTGCACAAAACATATTTAAAGTGATCACTTTTCCTGGATAAGTAAACTGGCAATTATCTCTAGAAATCGTTGAGACATATCCCATTTGCAGTACTTTTGAGAAAGCTTCGCCGGGTTTTAAAGTACCCCAGCCTGTCATTGTAGTTGGGCTTGTGCTTGATACGTCACAGGTAATGCAGAAAGGAAGGGATACTGTTAAAACAATATCTTCTGTTATATTGCGAGCAAAGTGCAGAAGAGCTGAAAAAAAAACAAATCAAATAGGTATATATTTTTGTTTTTTCTTTTTTCAATAATTAGGTTTGAATCAATTTTCAATTTCATGAATTCAAAATTTGTTTTCTAATTTTGACATTTTTTGAAATCGCAGCAAGTGTCAAAACGATCTCTTTATGCAACCAGTTGCAACTGATTACGAAAAGTTGATTATGTCACCAGTTACGAAATGAAAATAAATAAAAGTGCCTCTTTTTTGGTTTTTAAATCGAAAAATCGAAAAATCGAAAAATCGAAAAATCGAAAAATCGAAAAATCGAAAAATCGAAAAATCGAAAAATCGAAAAATCGAAAAATCGAAAAATCGAAAAATCGAAAAATCGAAAAATCGAAAAATCGAAAAATCGAAAATTCGATACTTTTTCGTTTTGTAATCTGTGAGTAGATAAGATAATATCCATGTGGGTGTAGAAAAATGCTATTATTTATCGATTCTACACAAAATGAACTCATTTTAATGTACATTTAATATGATTTGAAATACACACAACCAAACTTATATGGAATCACTGTGTATTTCTGAATAAACGTTTTGTAAGGAAAAAATTTGGTAACTAACTTTAAGATAAGGCCTTTTGTTCTTAAGAAACATAATAAAGAAGAAACGACTGCTGATATTTATTATTTTGTGAATTTTATGTACAGAAGTAAAATCACGATCCTCTGGTAATTTTCTTTCGGTCCAAAAAACAACAAAATGCCTTATATTGGACTAACAGATATGCCGAAGGGTGAGAATTATTGCTCTCAATGAACAAGGAATGCCCATTGAGACGTAGCAGAGGTAGTAAGCGATACCCAGGGTGTTGTATCGAAAACATATAAAAGGTATTTGAAACTGGAAGCTCTCAAGAACAGGCCCATACAAAGTAGTCAAAGAGTCACAACTGAACAAGAGGACCGCTTTGTGTGCCAATTTACATGACGAAATCCCAGTGTTTTTCATCTAGAGCTACAACGATAACTGCTGGAAGCTACAGGTGTGAACGTTTCAATTGAAACTCTAAGAAAAAGACTTCGCGCACGAGGTTCGTACAGTAGGAAAGAGTTACAGGTCCCACCGTTATCTAGGCAAAATAAAATTGACCGGCTAAATTGGTGCCTCCAACACCAAAACTGGATAATTGAGAATTGGCAAAATGTTCTTTTTTTGGATGAGATCAGAATTGGCCTAAGATCAGAAGATGACCATCGAATTCGGATTCTCAGACCTCCAGGAAGATGAGCGAGACTCCACGCTGCCAGATATGTCCCAAGATATCAAAGAGGAACTGTAATGTTTTGGGCAGGTATTATGTTGGAAGCAAAAACTCCATTGTTACGACTTCAACAAACTTTAACCGGTCCGAGATATGTTGATTTAGTGCTAGAACCAATCGTAAGGCTTTGGAGAGCTGCAATTGGGAATAATTTTATCTTTATGCACGATAATACACCTCCCCATACCAGCAGAGTGGCTACACAATATCTTGAAACGGAAGGTGTTAAAGTTTTAGACTGGCCTGCTAGTTCACCAAACCTAAATCCTATCGAACACTTGTGGAACCAGCTCAAAAGAAGGATTAGAGCTCGTCGAAACAATGCAGGAAATGTCGCACAGCTTATTGTTGCAGCATTAGCAGAATGGGAAAATATACCCCAAGACAATGTTGACAATTTAATAAGAAGCATGCCAAGGTGAATAGAAGCTTGCATTACCAATTTTTTTTCGGTTTTTTGCTTCTCGGCTATTAAAAATTTAAATCTCATTTCGTTTCAGAAACCAAAAAAATACCATTGTGTTTATTTTGTCAACTAATTAATTATTTTTATTGCTGTGGGTTATTTGTCATTAAAAGTCTTTGATAAGGACCGAGTTTTATTCATAAACAAAAAATGTTCATACATCTCAAAAATTATGAAAAATAATAGATGAGTCCATATAAGTTTTGTGTGTATATTTCAGTTCAGTTGAACGCAATAGCATATTTTTTCGTTTTGTAGTCTGTGCGTAGATAAGCTAATATTCATGTGGGTGTAGAAAAATATACTTTTACGACTACTTGGGAATGTGTTTAGGTACCTACCTACCTATCTATTTTAGATATGTTTTTTTAGATAGAACTTTTAGCAGGCATATTTAATAAATCTAACATTTTTGTGCTCATGGAATTTTCATATTTCCTTCCCTCTATATGCATGTTACTAGAAAATTGAATTTATTTACACTTTACCACGAAAATCCAGCTTACCTTGTCAAAATACGGTATTTAATAAACTTACCAAGGTCAGAATCATGCGTTAGCCTATTATATCTTGGATATATTATATAATAGTCTACAGCGACTTCAAATCCATCTGTTAAAGACTGAGATACGAGGTTGGCAGATCCAGCTCTGATAGAAAGACCTTGAGGTCGACGTTGATCAACACAATATGCTGAAGTTAAGCCCCATTCTTGATCTATTAAAGTTGCTCCACAAAAATGAATGCCTTCTTCCCTTAAAGACAATTGCCATTTGTATCTAGTTATGCTCGTATCGTGGCCACCAGAAATAGCTATAAAAACCATAGATATTAATTTATCAATTGATGCGTTTGAAATGTACCTCATCGAGCAGATCGAGTAGATTTTTTGGGCACGTGACATCGAGCAAACCACATCAATGGAGCAAACGAAGCAAAAGGGGCGGCATCGAGTAAAAAAAGCAAAACGAGCTACTTTTCAAACGCAGCAAATGTATAAAAAGAAAAAGATACAAAAAATTCAAACTGTGATGCTTTAAAATTTAAGTAACAGTAAAATATTTAAAATAATAGCAGAACCCATGTTTGATCCTATTAGAGAGCACATTGTATTTAGATATCTAAATATCTAAATACAATGGTGAGCGTTGTCTTCGTTGTGATTCGTCATTGGTTGTGATCATGGAGGAAGGTTGTGATCTACTCGATCTAGTACATTTTTATAAACCATTATTAAATAGACCAACCATACTCAACCTGCAGTTCCCTTGCCCGCTAGCCTTTTATATATGTATGTGCGTCCCGAAACACTATTATTAGGAAGGTGTTTTTTGAAACTAAGGGTTTCTAAGTTTCTATTGAAAGAGATGCGCGAAAATATTCATCGCTCGCTAATTTTTTGGATATATTTAAGTTTTGTGTTTTATTTATTACAGGTACCCACTTAAATGGATGACCTAAAAAAAGGTCATCTCCCAAAAAAGTTGCGGCCCCTGTAAAATAGCAAACATATGTACTTATGTGGCCCGAAGGAAAAAAAGGTTTAGTATAGACTCATATTAACAAATAAATTTGTTTCAACTAAGTACGAGTATATAGTACGATGAAAAAAAATTAAAGAATTTTGTAAACAATTTCGATTTTTCACTTTTTGATGTCACTAATTTGCTTTTTATCATATAACTTACCACTTGTTAGTACCAAAAATGATAGAAAAATAACAATTTCTTCCATTTTTCACAATTTTTTATAGATTTTCAATTTATTATATAGGTAGAGACTGTCTTTATCTATGGTCGTAGATATATCTTCTGAATAATAGAGAGCATTTATTTAAATCAAATATGGAAGCTATTATATTTATATTACTGATAAAACAATTATTGAAATATCAGTCTGGAACGCAGTCTGCAACGCAAACTGATTGCAATTTTATCTAATCCCATTAATACTTATATACTTGTAATTATTTTAAAATTCAAATTTAACGTTATGCGTAAATATGATTATGATATTTGATTGCGTACATATTTATAGAATTAGCATATTATAAAGATTTCGTTCAACCTGTTTTTCAAAATCTAAAAAAAATATATTAATACAAAATTCGTAAACTGTCATATTTCAGTGTCTATTGCATTATAAAAGAATGCTTATTTGAGCTATAATTACAATATCTAAAAAAATATTCAAAAAAAATGTTTCATAAGAATATCATAGTGTAGGGGAGACTGGGGTTGGTTGTCATAAGAGGTAGGTTGGCATCGGCAATGTAGGTTTAATCATTTCAACGGGTAGCTTTTCTTGAATTCGAGGGAATAGGAAATCGGATTGTCCTCTTTATCTGCAACATACAAAATTTATATTTCTGTCTCATTCTTTTCTTAAATGCCAATAGAGCAGGGACAGAAGTTGGAAAGGCTTTTCGCAGTTATCCCACTTCATACACAGGATTTGAAAGTTGTGCCGCCGAACTAACCGAAGTAAACGCAAAACATTTGCTTAGAAAATTATTTTATAGATGCTTTTAACAATTTCGAGTAAATGGTTTAATAAATTATTGTGAATAGCTGTTGAAATTTTATAGAATTATAATTTGGGATATTATTACTTGTTTAAATAATTATTTCTAGCCCATGAATTGATCAATTGCCCGATTTCGTCGATGTTTGGTATTATGTTTATTCTACTACAAAACATTGGTGAACAGACATTACCGCGTAATTATCAAAGTCCTTCGACGCGGTTTGACGTTTTCAACCTCTCCACCTACCAAAAGCCTTTCCAACTACTGTACCTCCTCTACCACTTTCGCATGTAGGCCATTGTGACTTTAATTTTTAGTTAGTGTTGTAACATTCACTTGATGTCATAACCAGTGAACAACGAACCAATTCAAATTTTTGAGTTGATGATAAAAGGGTTCATCTTAAAATGTGTTTGCGTTGAATTACGAGTTAGACATTATTTGTCCTTGTCAATCGCGATCTTTTCAAATCTATTGCAGGACTCCGTTATTTAGAGTGTTTGGTCTAGCTTGATCTTTTTTATTAGACTTAATAGCTTTGAGAGTGGCTCCCACATGCAGTGTCAGATTGGGACTTCCAGGGCCTACCCGTTCAGGAGGGAGAATAACCCACCTATCATTTTTTTTTTATGGTCCGATTCATTGAAGAGCAAAAAAGGTCCTCTTTGCACACTGATGCTTTTTCCGATATAGCCACGTATTACGGGATTCTTCTCAATTGCCCACTGCCTGAACGTGGGTACACTTGCTAAACGAAGGCCCACTGTTTGAACGAGGACACACTGCTTGAACGAGGGCCCACTGCTTGAACGAGACCGGTCTTTGGACAGGTAGACCGACGGCCCAATCTGACACTGGTTATATGCGTCTGGCTTTTGTTCACCTTCACATTGGCACGGGACTTGGAATGAAGTTTCCTGTTCTTCTTAACTGAACGTGCACAATGTTGCTTCTTCTGTAATAATTAAAACAAACCAAACCTATGACAACCTCGGTCTCCCCTACCTATACTAAATATACCAAAGACATTGGTACTGCAAAAGAAAATATTTAATTAAATAATTCCACGAATTATTTTGGTTACAATAGGAAAAACTGCACCTCAGTGTCTCTACTATCACTTACCATTCTTATCGGATATCAGACTTATAAAACATGACTAGTACACATTGTAAATACGAAACAGTCCAAAGTGCTAAGTTCTGAAAGTGAACTTATTTATTATTATCTATATCATTACCTATATTATTATATATATTATTACCTATGTAGCCTCAATATTCCATTCATGCCAATGAAAAATTTTCTTACCCCTACTTTTTAATAATTTTCTCCACGTTTCTGTTAATTCAAATTCGAAAACTCAAATAAAATGTTTCTTCTGTACCGTAAAACGGGGTTAATTGGGACAAATTTAAAACATTTTTTGCAGGTACTTCAAACATGTACTTATTATCCACCTTGGTTATATATATTTGGAAAGGTAGTAGGTGTATCTGTCTTATATGAAACAATGAGCTTTCCCCATTACAGAGGGGGGCTAACATTTTTTCTTTTATAGCTGTGCCAAATTACCCCGTAGGGTGGGGCTATTTGGGACTGAGTAAATTGCGTTAGAACTCGAATAATATTGATTTTTGGGGCTTTTTGGGACACCCAAAATAAATTTAAAAAAAAATAAACATTTATTTTGTAGTTGTGACCAAATGTTTACAAAAATAATATTATTATTCTAAGTTACAAAAAAATTAAAAAATTATTTATTTTCGGTATTTACTCATTTTCCTTCGATAGTTTCGTACCATTTTTACAGCCTAGAGGCAAAAAACTCACTGTTACCGGTCATATATTTCATGTTTTTTGCTGTTCCAATTAACCTGCCAATGTCCCAAATAACCCCATTGTTATGTCCCAAATTACCACACCAAAGAAAATAGCCTGTTAAAAATCTAACATGTAATATATCTTCACATTATTTTTGTTGGGGCATCTACAGTCGTCTAACAATTAGTTACAACTATCAAAGTTACCTTATCACCAGTAGTTAAATTCCAATAACAGAAAGTTGGACAATATCGTTTTTTAAGTCGTTTTTCACAATTTCTTGTAAATCATCTCACGCTTCCAACTGTTAATTCAACGGACTGAAGCGAGTCATCACGTTCACCCTAAACATGCTATCACGTGGTGCGACCTTCTAGAATAGTTTCGAGATATATTGCGACACGTTAAACACCTCTTTTTTTTTCGAACCTCGAGCAATGTTTCCCACTCCGACGCATTGTGGGTGGAGTTGTCGCAATATTTCCGGAAACTACTCATAATTTTCGGTTTAACTTCAGTACTTTAAATATAAATGTTTTGAAAGTGTTATGCATTTCTTATGCAAAACCACATACATATTTTTCCATTGTGCTGTTACTATAAAGTATTGCTGCTAATAATTTAAAAATTTTTTGAAAGTCCAATAATATCTATTTAAACTGTCTAATTATTACAGATCATGAGATACAGCCTGCTGATAGACAGATGGACGGACAACAGATCCGAAAAACGGACAGCAGAGTAATAAGGCCCCGTTGGTTACCCTAAAAATTTTAACTAATTACAAATTAAAAATTGGAGTTACATTAATACATTTGATGAAATTATAAATAATACATTTAAATTTCGACGACTCTACGGTCAGTCCGGAGACTAGAATCCTTACGCAAGAAGAAAGCTCAAATGTTAAGTTCTTTGACATTTTGACTACGTTGCCTAGACACAGAAACCACAGCAAAATTTCTATGTTTGAAGAGGAACATCAAGGCACCACATGCCCAACGAATTTTTGACAGGATGGAAAAAGCGTTACTAAGGGATAGAATTAACAGCTATCCGTAAAGTAGAACAAATTCAAAGAACAGCATGTCTCAACATAACAGGAGCCATGAAAACAACACCGACCAGAGCCATGGAAGTCATTCTTAGTCTCACTCCCCTTGATATTTACATCAAAGAGGTTGCTCCGACGACAGTGACACGCCTCTGCACGGTTGGAATAGAACCTGATGTAGGATCTGGTGAGGCGAGACGTCGCTTTTGGCAGGAGGCGCTCGATACGCTTCCACTGCTTCAAGCGAACATGGACTCAATCTCACCGAGATATATCTTCCATAAACCATATAAAGTTATAATAGAACAAATAGAAGAGCCAGAAGTGGCAGGTACGATTCATATCTACACCGACGGTTCTAAAACAAAACAAGGCTCAGGATGTAGAATATACTGCAGATTCTTAAACCTAAACATAAAATGGGTTTGTGATCAATAGTGCCAGTGTAGTTTAAACAGAGCTAACGGGGATTCTCATAGCAGCAAAAGAAATAACCAGAAACAATATCACTGGAAGGAACATGCTCATCTATACAGATAGCAGACAAGCACTACTCGCCCTAAACAGACTATGAATTTACTCAGAGTTAGTACTAGAATATCACGAAGCTTTGGCCGAAGTATCCATCAACAATGTGGTCACCTTAAGATGGATCAAAGGTCACGCCATATCGAAAGGTAACCGTCTTACTGATTCACTAGTCAAGAAAGCAGCCAACCAAATACTTTTTGGACCTGGCCCTTCTATTGACCTGACAAAATCAGTAGTGACAGACCTAATTAAAGAACATTCCCTTGTGAAATTCAAGGAAAGATGGAATGAAACAAGAAACTGCAGCGTTGCCAGGGAGCTCTTAACTTATCCTGACAACACTGCAGAAAACAAATACTTGATTATAACTAGACAGAATCTGTGCCTATTGACATACATTCTGACTGGTCATTGCCAAGTACGGAAACATCTCCATATTATGAGGCTGTCAGAATCCGCACTCTGCATAGGGTGCGAACAATAAGGTGACACCATCGAACATATCCTTTACGTTTGCTCGTCGCTCTCATTTATTAGAATATTTGTGTTCGTCGAGTACCGGCTAACACCGGCCGATATAAGAGAAGCACCTCTTGGCGACGTTGTCAACTACATAAATTTGTAGGCTGGCTCACGAGCTAGGAGTTGCCTATCATCTTAGGAGGATGCACAATGGGCCTAATGAGGCATAAGTGCCATGGGGTAACCCACCCTCCATAAGTTACAGATACAGAAATGCAGAAGGGAGAGAATCCACCAAACACGAAAAAATAAGTGATCAAGAAATGATGAACAACTATTTGAACTACATTTAAAACTGAGTTATCTACTAGAATGGAAAGATTGGAAAAAGTAATAGTAAAAAGTAATAACCTCAGTAGAATGAAATTAACCCTACAGTTATCCAATGAGAGACAAAAGAGAAAATTCAACAAACTCCAAACAAAACAACTCGAGAC